TATTTCAGGCAGTTCAGAACCAACCTTGGGCTGAAATAGTACTCCTTCCCATTTTATTAAGCTCTTTCCTTTTAGTGTTATTGAGTTGGGCCTGACTCTTTTTGATCTCATTTGGGGTTTTCTTATCAAAGAAATTGGAGGGGTTTGCCATTACCTTCTCCAGCTCATTTTTCAGATGAAGAAATTGAGCAAACAGGGTCAAGTGACTTGCCCAGGGTCACACAGCTAGTAAATATCTGAGGCCTGGATTACAACTAAGGTCTTCCTGACTGCGGGCCCTGAGCTCTAACCACTGGAGACCTAGCTGTCCCTTTACTATGAGAGGAAGTCCACTCTGATTCCAAATTCCACTTATTGGACTCTAATTCAGTCATTATTCTTGGATCCCTTGCTTGCTTATCTACACAGCCTCGGAAGGTTGCAAGACTTGCTGAGACACAGCTGGGATGAAAGTCAATAAAATGGCGGTGGCAGCACACCCCTCCAACAATCAGTCTGCAGATTTCTTCACTCCTCAGACGCCCTCAATTTTGGGTAGGGACATTGTGTTCCTCACTTCTAAGGAGGGGAAAGGGTCACACTGAGGAGGGCTGGGGTTGGAAGGCCAACAGAGGAGGGTTAAGGGCTGGGGCTGTTTCTTTCTCTGGTTCAAGCTGGGAGCACAAGAGCCTCGTGTTCCTGGAGTGGTGATGGGAGGGAGGGAGAGTCAGGCGCTCCACAGATTCAGAGGCTGTTCTGGGAAGGACACAGAGCCAAGGTCTGTAAAGCTGGGGGTTTCCTCCGAGTCAGTTTCAGTTTTGGTCTCCTAACCTGTGCCGGCTCATTCTGCCCAGTCACCAATGACGTTTCTTTTCCTCTCGTTTGCTATTGGCTGGCAGAGCCTCCGTGGAGCCAACCACAAGTTAGGGATTCGCCCCTCAACAAACCCAGCTCAGAGCGGTCTCTGTTCTCTCTGGACCATGGAGCCCTGTCTGCGCTCTCTCTTTTTGTTGGGGAGCCTGGCCCTGCCGGAGACCCGGGCAGGCAAGTAGAGAACAGACCTAAGCGGCCGCCTGGGGACTGGACACAGCATTGCGGGGTGGACGTGTGGGTGGGATGGGGTTTCCTACAGGAAGCGCCTCCGGCACCAGCCCAGGGTGGGCTTCCGGGGAACCGGCTCCTTAATGGCAGGTGAAGAAGTCAGGGTGATGGTGAAAGGAAGAAGTCGAGAGAGGGAGAGGAAGAGAGAGTGTGTGTGTGTGACTGGGGGACATGTAGCCTGTCGTCCCTTAGCTGGGCTTCGGCAGGAGGGGGAGTGGGTGTCTTTGTGTCGGTCCCTTATTTGGGGGGGGTGAGTGGATTGGTGGGTGGGGGTGAGGACGAGGGGCGCTGAGGCAGAGGTGCCGGGAGGGAGAATGGGTGCGACAGTCCTGGGGGCGTTAAGAAGGAGCAGAGCGCCACCCCCCAATCAAGGCCAAGGACACAGAACCGGGAGCAGCTCGCTAAAGAGCTTCACGGAGGATCGTGGGGGGCGGGGGGATGAGGCCGGGGGCAGGCGAGAACCCAAGGTGGGGGCCTGGGGGTGAGGAGTGCGAGAGACGCGGGAGCCGGACCAGAGGTGGGGGCGGGGAGGGGGGCAGGGTCCGGATGGAGGCACTGGGACCTGCCTGGGTTGTCAGTGAAGGCGTTTTGCTGATCTCAAAGCGCTGTAGCCTCGAGAATTATTACGGGGGCCGGCGCGGCGCGCCATCAGTGTTGGGGGCGGAGGGGCCGGATACGGGGGGGGGTTAGGAGTCCGGGGTGACATCCTGGGCGCGACGGGGTCAAAGCTCACTCCCGGGTAGACGCGGGGTTGTTGAGGTCAAGGGTCGCGCCCCCGGTCGGCACGGGGTCAGGGGCCGCACCCCGCCTTCGCGGCAGACAGGCCGTGTCTACGCGGTCACCGCCCTGACCCCTGATCCCGGCCCGGGTGCCCACGTCCAGGCTCTCACTCCCTGAGGTATTTCGACGCCGTCATGGCCTCCCCGGGGCTCGCGGAGCCGCGGTATATCGCCGTGGGCTACGTGGACGATCAGCAGTTCGTGCGCTTCGACAGCGACAGCAAGAGTCAGAGGATGGAGCCGCGGGCGGCGTGGATGGAGCGGATGGACCGGGAGGAGCCGGGCTACTGGGAGCGGAACACGCGGAACGCCAGGCAGAACGCACAGGCTTCCCCAGCGGCCCTGCGGAACCTGCGGGGCTACTTCAACCAGAGCGAGGGCGGTGCGTGACCGGGTGGGGGCGGGGGGGTCCCGGAGCTGGAGGACCGCGTGGGGGCGGGGCAGGGAGCAGCCCGAGCCCGGCCGCTGACCCGGGCCGGGGGCGGGGCAGGGGTCCACACCATCCAGAGCATGTACGGCTGCGAGGTCTCCCCGGAGCTCACCTTCCAGCGCGGGTTTTTCCAATTCGCCTACGACGGGCGGGACTACATCGCCCTGGACACGGAGACCTCCACGTGGACGGCGGCGGTGCCGCAGGCTGTGAACTCCAAGCGCAAGATGGAGGCGGACGGGGGCTACACGGAGAGAATGAAAGCCTACCTGGAGGAGGAGTGCGTGATGTGGGTGAAGAAGTACCTGGAGATGGGGAAGGAGACGCTGCAGCGGGCAGGTACCCCCCTCCCAGTGTGCGCGGCACTCAGGGCCCCCGCTCCCCTGCAGCCCCAGCCCCGGGCTCCCGGCCCCC